CTGAGCGTGGTGCTGACAACACCAAGTCAAGGGTTATGATCCCCTTACTGGTCATCTTTTTAAAAAAAAAAAAAAAAAAAAAGAGGAAATGTTCATATTTGTTGGTTTTAATCTTAGTGTGTGGTGAGATCTCGAGTTTTATAAGGCTTTTAGAATCAGATAGGGTTGTGATTAGGGCCTGTGGACAGAGATCATGTTCTTGCTAGGGAAATTGAGACGTAAATTTTGTCACTGAATGGGCCTGCCAGACCTCCACATGATTCTGAATCATTTGGCACCAGTATCCTCTGAATCAGGAACAAGGAAGAGGCGAGGCAGGGGTGGTAGATGGTAACAAACACAAAGATCATCCAGGGTGGAGGTAGTTGATGATCATGTACACCCAGAATTGGAGAAAACCTTAGATGTTCTGTTCAACCTAAGTGTATAACTATGATAGGCTAAATCTGACTTGTCTGTATGATGGCATTAAAAAAGCGCTTTTGTCATTACAAAAAAGACTGCTTAAGGGCCAGCCCAGTGGCGCACTGGAGAGTGCGCCACTTGGGAGCGCAGCGGCGCTCCCGCCGAGGGTTCAGATCCCATGTGGAGACCGGTTCCCGCTCACTGGCTGAGCGCGGTGCGGGCACAACACCGAGGGTTGCGATCCCGTTGCCGGTCTCCGGTGCGGGCGCGACACCGAGGGTTGCGGTCCCGTTACCAGTCAGCAAAAAAGACAAAAAGACAAAAAAAAAAAGGGTACTGTAGGAATCCACACTTGTGGAGAATTTACAAGGCAGGCATGTAACAGACTGTGCTTATAAACGAGAGGAGAACTTGGATTGTTTTATCCATTTCCTGACAGGTTTGAATAATTAAGAATTACACAGAGTACAGGGCATTTTCTCTGGAGCAGTAGGGCTCTTCAATCACATGTCCATATTCTGCTTAAGTCACAGTTGCAATGTCCTTACTGCCCCCTACCCATATCACAGGCATTTCTTCTACTCACTGTATTCACCCATACCCAGAGGGTAGCTTTTTGTCTCCTTTTCTTCATCTTGAAGCTGTTCTTTTCATTTCATCAAGAATATGTGTTTTTATATTTTCAGGGTTTGGTAACATTCTCAGATGTGGCTATAGACTTCTCTCAGGAGGAGTGGGCCTGTCTGGACCCTGCTCAGAGGGACCTATACTGGGATGTGATGTTGGAGAACTACAGTAACTTGGTCTCACTAGGTAAGTTGCCTGCCTCAAATCCCTGGACCCTGCTTGCTGGGATATCAGCGCTCCACTGTGACAGCTAGAATTTCAAGAAACTAGTTGAATTTCTTCTATTCCCAAGGAGTGTTTTGAGCTACGTCAGTATGGAAACGAGCTGGCTGTGTGTTTGATGTAGAGTGGATCGGATAAGCAGAACTCATGTAAAACTAAAGCTGAGCATGTTCCACTTTCTACCCAATGTACCTGCTGTTAGATTGAAAGTTACAATCCATAAACTTTGAGTTAAACAATGAATGGCAATATCTTATAAACATCTCAGGAAATTTGTTTTTCTCCTAGGAAAATAACAATAATATTAATAGCTAATATTGGGCTTTCTCTTTTGTCATGCACTGTTCTAAGCATTGTGTGTGTGTGTGTGTGTGTGTGTGTGTGCATACATTTCATTTCATTCTCACAAGTTTATGAGATAGGCACAATTATTATGTCTCTTTTAGAGGTGAGTATGTTGAGGCACAAACTGACCTGGTCGGACAGAGGACACAGGAGCTAGAATTGAATCCAAGAATTCTGGTCCCCAGAATCCCTTCTGTCAACCATGTTCTACTTGCCTCCAGGGATGATAGCTACAGGAGTTTAAAATAATACCCTTTTCCTATCTATCTGGTTTCCTGTTTGTTCTTTCATTCTTTCTGTCAATGAAGTCTTTATCAATATCATTTTGACTTTAAGGTTATTACAAATTTGACTAATGCTCAATCAAAAAATGTTTGAGCTTGTAGTTTTTTTTTTAAGTCCTACATCATAATATGGCATTTGTTTTTGTGAAAGCAGGACATTTCATTTCTAAGCCAAATGCAGCTTCCTTATGGAAGCAAGGGAAAGAGCCTTGATGGCTGAGGCGAAAGGCCCAGAGGAGAGGGAAAGCCAGTCTGGCAAGAGCAAGCTACCTTGACAAAGAACGGCCCAGATGGGCAGGGAGCAAGCCTGCCCCTGAAGTGTTTGGGAAGCTCCCTAGAAAGGTTCAGGCCTAAGGCCTCTAGGGAGGAAATAAAGGTCTCACCATAACCTTTATCTTCCTCCCATTTCCCTCTTGTTTTTCTTCTCAGGTTTCGCCCCCATTTCATGTGTTATTGATGATGCTGGAAGACCACGCCTTGAGTAGCAAGGGTGTAAATAACATGATCCTCTGCCCTTTGTAACTCCTGAAAGTTGGTTGTTATCCTAATTTTAAATGCTTTTTTTCTTTTAGTTAGTTTTTGGCAGCACAGCTTCCAGGTGCTATATGTTCTTCCATCATGAGGCACCTAATATCTGGTTATAGCTCTTTTTGTGCTACTAGCAGTCACTGACACTCAGTACCTACCCATCATTTTGTTGAGGGGTTAAAATGGCAATATTCTATCATTGCTTCTTCATTTATTAGCTGTAATTATTAAAGAAAAATTTTGCTCCATCTACTTGTTGCTTACACAGTGGCATTGTTCATAGTGGATAAGAAGGATAAAAACTTTTTCTTTTTCTTTAATTACCAGTTTTTATAATAAAGGATTGGCTTCCTAGCATGCTCCAAATTTGGCCATTAAACATTTTTGTTTGTTTGTTTTGTTGTGTTTTGTTTTGTTTGACTGGTAAGGGGATTGCAACCCTTGGCACGGTGTGGTCCGCACCACACTCAGCCAGTGAGCGCACCGGCCATCCCTATATAGGATCTGAACCCGCGGCCTTGGCGCTACCAGCGCCGCACTCTCCCAAATGAGCCCCAGGGCCGGCCCCCATTAAACATTTTTTGATGTCATTATGAACTCATGGATTTAAACATGTTTGATGTTTTTCAGTACTTTGCAATTAACATCCTTGTTGATTTTTAAGTTCTTCTAAGCTTTTCCTCGTAATTCTTTTAAACTTTTCACATCTTTTATTAAATTTAGTCTTCACATTATTTTTTTGGTTGCTTTTGAATTTTGGGTCTTTTTATCCAGAATTACTTGTAATTATATTACTAACATATATATAGATATAGATTTATATATAATTTCTAAATTATATATAAATATTAATATATATATATAAATTTCAGAATATTAGTTTTATACACAACACAACTATTCAACTCCTTATTCTTATTTTTTACAGTAGTTCTATATTTGATTTTTGGGTTTTCCAGGTATATCATCATATCATACAAATGACTACAAATCATACTTGTTTTCATCTTCACTTTTGAGATTTACCCCTTTCATTTATTTTGTGTCAGCTGATAGGAAATAATAGGACTAATAATTGGGATCTTTTTCATGTTTGACTTCAGCAGGAATGGCTTCAGTGTTTCCTCACCAAGTATTGCATTGCCAGAAATAAAATCTATATTTTAACAAGACCCATAGGTGATTCATTTTTATCCTACTAAAGAGTTTTTATTTCTACTAGAGAAGTTTTTGGTTTGTGGTTAGGTTTGTTTTTCTTTCTCTTTAAAGGAAACAAAATATGTTATTCTTTTCCAGATTTGGAGTCAACATCTGAAACTAAGAGCTTAGCTGCAGAAAAGAACATTTCCGGAATAAATTTTTCCAAAAGGAATTCAGATGGAAAAAGTAAATCCCTTGGCATTAACTGGATGCAGGAACGTGATCCTGCAGGACCACGGGGCTCTCGAGAGGGACGTTTGAAGCAAAAGAAAATCAGCAGGGGGAAAAGGCCTACTAATAGAGAAAGTACACCTTCTAGATCACGACAGAGACATCATAATAAGGAGAGTTCCTATGAATGTAAGGAATGTGGGAAGGCTTTTAGTCGTGGCTATCAACTTAGTCAACATCAGAAAATTCATACTGGTGAGAAACCTTACCAGTGTAAAGAGTGTAAGAAGGCTTTTCGTTGGGGTAATCAACTTACTCAGCATCAGAAAATTCATACTGGTGAGAAACCTTATGAATGTAAAGATTGTGGGAAGGCCTTTCGATGGGGCTCAAGCCTTGTTATTCATAGGAGAATTCATACGGGTGAAAAACCCTATGAATGTAAGGACTGTGGAAAGGCCTTTAGACGTGGTGATGAACTCACTCAACATCAGAGATTTCACACTGGTGAAAAAGACTATGAATGTAAGGACTGTGGGAAGACCTTTAGCCGTGTATATAAACTTATTCAACATAAGAGAATTCATAGTGGCGAGAAACCCTATGAATGTAAAGACTGTGGGAAGGCTTTTATTTGTGGTTCAAGCCTCATTCAGCATAAGAGAATTCATACAGGTGAGAAACCCTATGAATGTCAAGAATGTGGGAAGGCCTTTACCCGAGTCAATTATCTTACTCAACATCAGAAGATTCATACTGGTGAGAAACCTCATGAGTGTAAGGAATGTGGGAAGGCCTTTCGTTGGGGGTCAAGCCTTGTTAAGCATGAGAGAATTCATACAGGGGAGAAACCATATAAATGTACAGAATGTGGGAAGGCCTTTAATTGTGGCTATCACCTTACCCAGCATGAGAGAATTCACACTGGTGAAACGCCTTATAAATGTAAGGAATGTGGAAAGGCCTTTATTTATGGCTCAAGCCTTGTTAAGCATGAGAGAATTCATACAGGGGAGAAGCCCTATGAGTGTAAGGAATGTGGGAAGGCCTTTAGTCATGGCCATCAACTTACACAGCATCAGAAAACTCATATGGCGAAATCCTATGCATGTAAGGAATGTGGAAAGGTATTTAATCATTTAAACCATCTTAGAGAACATCAGAAGACTCATAACAGTTGAAAACTCTTTGAATACAGTAGTCCCCCAATCCTCAGTTTTGCTCTCCATGCTTTCAGTTACCCACGGTTAATACAGTCCAAAAATATTAAATGGGAAATTCCAAAAGTGAACAATTCATAAGTTTTGAATTATGCACCATTCTGAATAGCGTGATGAAATCTTGTGCTGTCCCACTCCATGAGCCTGGACCGGGAATCCTCCCTTTGCCCAGCATATCCATGCTGTATATGCTACCTGCCTGTCCATCACTTAGTCGCCATCTCAGTTACCAGATCGACTGTCATGGTACCGCAGTGCTTATGTTCAGGTAACACTTATTTTTCTTGATAACCCAAAGCGCAAGAGTAGAGATGCCAGCAATTTGGATATGCCGGCAATATGGATATGCCAAAAAGAAGCTAAGTGCTTCCTTTAGATGAAAAGGTGAAAGTACTCAATAAGGCAAGAAAAAAAACTGCTTTGCTGAGGTTGCTAAGATCTACAGTATAAGAAGATTATTTTGAGAGAGAGACCACATTCACATAACTTTTACTACACTATATTGTTATAATTGTTCTGTTTTATTATTAGTTAATTGTTGTTAATCTCTTACTGTGCCTAATTTATAAATTAAAGTTTAGGTATTTATGTATGTATGTATAGGAAAAAACGTAGTATATATGGTGTTCTTTACTATCCATGGTTTCAGGCATCCACAGGGGGTCTTGGAACTTATTCTCCTGTGGATGAGGGGGAACCACTGTACAAAGAATGTACAAAGTCGTCTAAACTACATTCATTCCTTCCTCAACATTAGGAAAGTTTATGATATAATTTAACATAGCCTTCCCTGATCACTCTTCTACTTATAGAATATCAGAAGTCATACTAGAGACAAACCCGGAGAGTGGAGAAATCATTTTTTCTTAATGATCACAACGTACTCAGTGTAAAGTATGTGTTTTTATTGTATAGGTTAATTTAGTGAATGCGCGGAAGCCTACAATACCATTCTGTCTTTATTACATTTCAGATTCGTTCTAGGGAATAACTCTGCTAATGTAACGTGTGTGGGAAAGCCTCTAGTCAGGCACACACCCCACCCATTGCCATCACCATCCCACCTCTTTGCTCCCTGTGAGACACTGACCAAACTGCTTGTTACCCCTGTGCACTGTTTGTAAAATGTACATTATGTGCGTTATTTGTACATAGGGATAATCACATCTACCTAAGACTGCTATTGTGAAAATTAAATGTTTGGTCCATGTAAAACTCCTGGAAAATGTATTTGGAATATTGTGTAAGCCAAACAAATATTAGCTATTGTTCTTATGATCATTTCCATTAGTGTTGCTCTAAGTGAATTGTTACAAGAACCCCCCTCCTCCCTCAGGTGCAGTGAGTTTAGAAAAGACTATCAAACTTCTAGAAGAAAACACAGGAGATTACCGTCACAACTTTGGGTTAGACAGTGATTTCATAGTATGCAACAGATGCTAAACATAAAATAGAGTCGTTAGACTTCATCAGAGTACAAAGTTCTGTTCATCAGATAATGCATTAAGATAGGCAAAGGGCAAGACGTAGACTGGAAGAAGGTATTTGCTGTACATATACTTGACAAAGGACTCACAGAAAATATAAAGAATCCCTCAAATGAATAAAATGACATGAATTAAGAGGGGGGGAAACTTAAACACTTCACAGGAAATCACCAAATGGCCAATAAGTAAGTGAAAATGTGTTCAACATCATTACTCATCAGGAAATGCAAAGTAGAGCAACGTGATGTCACTAGACAGTCACCAGAATGGCTAAAATTAAAATCACAATAACTAAGAGTAGGTTTCTAATGTCTCATCACAAAAATCGATAAATGAGGTGTGGATATGTTAATTGGCTTGATTTAATCATTCCACATTGTATACATACATCATAACATTGTACTTCATAGATGTGATAATTGTTATTTATCAATTAAAAATATTAATAAAGAAGAAATATTACATATGATCTTGTCTCTTTGTTGGATATTCAAACATCCCGTTTAGGAAGGAATGGGCCAGAGAACTGGACCTCTACCAAATCGTGGAGGTCCCGCAGGAGGACGGAGGAGAGTGGACTTTGTAGGAGGGGCGATGGCCCAGGACAGAGTCCTGGGATGCAGCAGGACAGGAGGACGGAGGAGAGTGGACTTTGTAGGAGGGGCGATGGCCCAGGACAGAGTCCTGGGAGAGTCAGAGTCGAGGGCGCAGTTCAACTCAGGGGAGAGACCTGAGCTGTCTTCAGATGGTCCTAGAGTGAAGGCAGCATTATCTTGGGGAAAGGACTAGAACCCACAATAGGAATGAGGATATGGATAAGGAGATCTAGAGCCCATGGGAATGAGTTTGAACAGGTTGGGGAGAGCCTAGGAAGTGGAGAAGGGATGGCTAGAGCTCAAGAACGAGTTCCGTAAGTCTGAAGAAGGACAGAGTCCAGGACAGGAGCCTTTCAGACTTGGGGAGGATTTGGATGCTCATGAGAATATCCTGGCAGATCTAGGACATGCTAAAGCTAGTGGGAGAACATTCAGCACGGGATGGTGGTGTGATTAAAGCCCAGGAGTACCCTATAAAGGTTGACAAAGGATGTGGAATATAGAATTGAAGGAGAACTTATGTTTGATTTACCTCAGGGTTAGGGTTACGTTTCAGTTAAAGCTACTTAGTCCGTGGGTTATGTATACCTTAGCATTAAGTTAAAGATCTGGAACCTCTAAGAGTAGGAAGTGAGGGAGAGTGTTTGGGGGAAGAGTGCCAGACCCAGGTTTCAGAGCTGGATGCCTTTCTGGACCAGGCTTAAGAACCTGTAATAAGCATCCTTGTGGGAGTTATCCTTAGTGTCCCCTTCTCCTACGGACCCTATGCCAACAGCAGAAGGGGCTCAGTGTCCCCTCACAACCAAAAGCTACATGCATGTGTGGGCACTGCCCTTCCAGACTCTTCTGTATGAAAAGAAGGAAATGGATGAGGTATGAAGAGAAGAGCAAAGGAAGGAGTATGAGGTGGCAGGAGAGAAGTGAGACGAGGAGGAGCTGGAAGGTTAGTGATGGGAAGGGGAGGAGGCCCGTAAAGAGGATGAAAACAGGAGGGGGCACGAAGAATGGGAGGACTGCAGTGGGGAGAATACTGGGAAATAAGAGGAGGTGGTGCAGAAAGGCAGTACTGGGCAGGCCTCAGGTGAACCCAGCCGAGGATGCAGGAGCACACAGCCTGGATGGTCAGGGGCAATTGAGGGAAGGTAATATGGAAAGAGTGTGCATTAGTTAGGACTTGGTTCAAGGAGCAAAAACCCTTATTCAAAGCAGCCTAAGGGGACGGTGTAGGAAGGTGGGCTGAAGACCTTGGCCACACACCCCCAGCCCCCCACCCCGACATCCACAACCATCCCAGCAAGGACCACTGAGCCATCACTGGAAACACCATGCACTCCCAAGCCAGGGAGGTGGGAGGGCCAAGGGCTTCAGCCGTACCCCCCGACATCTGCATCTAGCCCAACAATGACCAAGCCACCACTGGAAGCCCCCTGGTCTCCCCTGCAAGAATGAGGGGGTGCCACAGGCCTCAATCACACTTCCCTTTCTCCTCCCACCCTATTTCCTTCTCCCTTTGCCTCTCCCCCTCCCCCATACCTGCTCCGCAACATCTTAGAATGTAAAAAAAATAATAAACAAAAAAAGAAAGCCC